AACAATAAATCATATTTTCATGGACTACAGTATTGCATTATAACCTCACAGTTTTATGCGCATGAGAATGCAGCAAAAGCAGGCTCACACATATCTACAACACAGACTAACTGGTTAGTTCACGAGAATAAGGTCAAAGTGTACAGTAAGGACAATATATAAAAGGGATTCTAACAACTCATAGAACTCTGAGGGGGAAAAGGAACAAAAAAGTCTGTCCAGGAGGGACTGCATTTAATTTAAGGTACACTTTTTTTTAAAAATCCTCTTAACTGCACCACCTTACTTACTGTCAGTTTTAGTTCTGCTCTGCACTTGCCATTGCAGTCAGCATTCTCTGTATCTCATTTTCTTTTCTGCTTCATTCAAGCATATTTAAGGAGGAAATTAACACCATCTGAATATTAAGCTTTACCCAGCCTTTTTTCCTCAAAATAATTTCTCCTGTTTGCCCTGTATTTTTTACTGTTGACCTTCTAGCTGATTCTGAATTAAATGTTCATATGTTTTCTACTTGCTCCCAAATCTAGTCCTGCTTGTTTACATTTATTCTTGTTCGTCTCCCTCTTATTTGCCTCTGCCCATATCACATCCCATCATCCTCAACTTCTCGGCTTTCTATTCCTACAAACTTCAACTGTCTTTCCAGTGCCTACTTCTTGCAGCCCTCTGCAACCTAAAATTGATTTAATTCATTGTTTCCTCCCCATCAGCATTATTAATAATCTTCTACCAGCCAGATTATGGGATAACTTCATTGCTTTTTTCCATCAGCTGCCTCTGGCAATAGTTTACCCACCATTTGCACTGCTCCCCTCCATAGACTTTATGAAACTCCGTTATCTCTTTTAGAAGATTCCACTTTTCAAAACTAAGTAGTTTCAATTACCTTTTTATTGGCAGCCTTGATCTTTGGTCTAGATGCCATCCTTAACACACATTACATAAAATTAAGGAAGAGCAACCATAGTAAAAAGCATTTCACTGCTCTGATCCATGTTCTCATTTTACCTCTCACACAGATTTCTGTTCATCATCTTTTCATGCACTGTATCTAAATCAGATTTTCATCTCCTTGGGGTAAGAACACATAATTTTCATTTATCTGTAAAGCACCATGTATGCTTATGACTCTGTAGAGATGCCAAGTATGTGTACCCACATTTATTAAAATATTGATGCTTTTATCTGTTCATATAGTGCAGAAGCAACATGGTAGCAGTTGTACCCATTTAAAAACTATTTTCCATCTGTAATAGCTATAGTGTGATATATTTATAGTGGCCGCATGCTGTTCCCTCTCTATTTCCTAGTTCATACTTACACTGCTCTTTCTGGTCTTATTAACTAACACTGCCCAAAAAATAAAAAATCTCAATTTTATCTGACAATATCAAAATTTTTTTTCTAAAAATAAAGCATAGGGATAACATACAGTGGGTTTATTACTTATCCACAGTGCATGATTGCATTCTCAGTGGGTGAAGGTTGCTGTACCAGCTCAGGACTTCTGCCCTGAAAAATCTTGTCACTAAAGTAATCCTGACGATGGTAAAAAATTTAGGAATTTCGGACACCAGTATTCTTCCTACCTAGCCAGAGAGACATTAAAGTATCTGATTTTCAGAGTAGGAGTAGCTCTTTCTAGAACAAAAGATTTTGAAGAAGGGATCTCATTATTTCAAAAATATTGTTTGACACAATGGATATAATTAATTCAAGGATATATTCTAAAAGCTAGGAGGGGTTCTAATGCAAAAAGATAAAATGAGGGTACTATCAAATCAGTTACAACATATGAAACTGTTTCTATTAAGAAGTGCAGCAACAGGCTACACATATACTCTCCTTCTTAATCAAGCATATTTATTTTTTGGTTAAAAAAAAGGAGAGTAGTCATGCCAAAATCCCACAGCAGAATATACACAGGCCCCTATCATGACCCAGAGCTCTTTTCATGAATGAATCTGTGCTAATAATTTCAAAAGTTAGATCAAAAGATAAAGAATTATTGTAGTAGACACAGAATCCAGAGCAACTAAACTGTTCTGCTTCACATAACACTTAACAAATGGTTAAGCATTTAATCATTTAATAAAGTGAACATGTCAAATATTCTGCTTTCCAGGATATCTGAGCTAAAAACTTGAAATGGGTTGCTCATTTGTGGGTCAGTACATACAGAGTGGCCTTAACAAACCATTTACTTAGAGTAGTAGGAGAGAAGTTACAGTCATTACTGGCCTATGTAATATTACTGGCATTTCTTCACTGAGTGCCTTAATGTTTACATTATCTTTGCATACAGGGACCTGTTTCAGCTAGTGTTCCACCATGCTTTTTACTGGATAAAATTATAAACATCAATCCAACTTAATGTCAAACTACATATATAACAACCTGTGCAAGGTTGCACTGATTACAGTCAGACCACATACAAGTTTAAAAGCTTTATTGGACTGAACAAATGGCAAAGGTCCATTTTAGCCAACTCTTGACGTTTCCCATGTAAGAATCTATTTCATCTACCTTAATTTATTTACTACACATGAAGAAAATACTGTCAATGAATGCACTAAGGTGTGATTCATTTGACCTAAACTAAATGTTTACTTCAGGATAAGCCATTGTACACTGTAAAGCCACTAGAATGGGTAAATTAGTCACATTTCATCAAACAGTGAAAACTGAATATTTGTCCATTTCTTTACTTCTTCAGAGAAAGTCAAATCCAGATAGCATGTCTACAACCTCATAAGTAAAAACAACCCCTTGAGAATACTGCTGTTTGGTGCCAACTATTACTCTCCAGATAGGGCTTAGGGCCAGATATAGAAGGTGGTCTGCCTGATTCAGATAGAAGTTGGTTTCAATGAAGGGAAATGGTCCTTTGTATCTTTTACTTTTTGAAGAAATAAAAGGCGATAGGCTTGGATAACGTGTCTAAATTGCAACTTTAAATGAAAAGGAAGAAGACAGAAATGTAGCTTTTAAATGAACATTTTAATTATAGTAAGGACAAAATAAACAATATAAACAGCAAAAGTAAAAAAGAAGCCTGCAGGTGAGAAAATGGCTTTCAAAACCTACTATGATATGACATTCATGATTGTGATGACTTTGGACAAATATAACAGGGATACACTGTTATCTAAATGAACTGGTGTTTTAAAATACAGTTCACTTGATCCATTGTGAGATTTGCTATCTGTAAACTGCTTCAAAAAATACCGCCATAAGAAGTAAGGTATGGAAGGACTTTCCAAAAGATTGGAAATTGGACCAGTTTTGTTTCTATCAAAACTATGAGTTATAATGACTTGACAACCCTGTACAGGAATGAATTATTACTCAGAAATCACTGTGTATGGGAGGTTGTGTTTTGTAAGGACTATTATGAGACATAGTGCTCAGGTTTTCAGGTGCACTCAACTTTACATCCTTCACAACAAGAAGTATGAATGATAAGCACTTTTGAAGATCAATGTGGTTGCTTTGCTCAACAAGGAACAATGTCCCTATAAACCTAAATTTAGAAATAATGTATGTATGGAGCTCTCTTTCATCTCTTTCCACCCCGAGATGAGGGAGCAGAATTAAAACTACTTGCTTTCCTTTAAGCTAAACATTTTTTCCCCTAATCACATCACTTTACTCTCATTTACATGAATTTTAGCTTCAAGAATCATTGGTCATTGTTGAATGCAAATAAGCACAAAGTAAAATTATATTAAGCTTGCACAATTGATCTTTCATCATTCTAAATGGCACCTTTTAAAATTTTCTGTAAAATCAGCCTGAAATACTCCCATCGTTGACTGTCATCAAGTGGAGCAGGGTCACTTTGGGAAAACCCGTTCTCAGTGATGTAAATTATAGGGTTATTATATGTATCTAGAACAAGAGAGCAGAAGTTTTATTCAGAACAGATGTAAGAAAGCCCATAAAATCAGATGCATTACCCTTTATCTTTTCTAAGCTACAAACTAAAACTAGTTTTCATCAAATTGTACTGACCCTATTAACTTAATTTTCCATGAGCTGACCTTTTATGACTAACAATGGAAAAGCAAAACTGTGCAAATACCCATGAAGACAGTGAAATGACTTATTCTAATGAGAAGACTAAAATATCTTTCCTGCATTAGCATCTGCTTATTGTCACTGCTCCTTAACCCCTTGGTACTGGCAGTCACCACATGTCCCATTGCCAGGAGTAGATGCATGCCAGGAAAGCCTTACTGCTGGCATCAGAAGGATCATTTCTGGAGTTCAAAAGATGATATAACACTGGTGTGTCATTTCAAACTGTAAAATAGCTATCAAGTGCAAAGGCAATAGGAAAACACTAAGGTTTCTACTCTTTATAACCAGCATGCAAAAATTAAATTAAGAATCCCAAGATTACTCATATATTTATATCTTGTACAATGTCTTATGCCAGCCAGATGGGCTCCTCAAAAAATTCCAAATCACCAGTATTACTCACTGGATTCTCAGATCCCGTCATTGGCCAGCCAACAGTGGCAAAATGGTCCTGTGAACCTTAGGTCATCCTTGATATAACACAGAAGACAGATGAAGCCCCATGGTACTACAGACAGACATAAAAATCCCAGCTGCAACAGGCCAAGAAGGATCCATTATTTGATCACCTTCACAGTCCATTGAAATAGCCTCTTGTCCACATTTTCTTGGCCCTAAGTTTAACAGTTCAGAGCAGTATCCATGATCATAATTCTTTCCTTTTTAGTGAATTCCAGAAGCCTTGATGATAATGAACGCATTACAGAGATTCAGGATTTCATGATGGCTGGATATTCACCATCAGTAAATATTGTCCTGACAGGCCCACCTAATGTAAAGAATAGGTACACTTTAATAACTTTCTTGTCTGCTACAGAATTTGTAGAGGTTTAACCAATTAGAGTTCAGAGTTATAAGTACAAGTCCACATGGTTTTTCTCCAAATGTCTTATCACAACCATGTCAGGTGTTACCATGAGCTTTTATCACATTATAAGATGCCTTGTAAGCTCTGGTACCAATGCTGGGGCTATACCATTTTCACAGCCACCTGTAGCAACAAGATAGGGCTCATTAACAGTGATCACTCAGTTTCCCAATGTTCTGAAGCAGTACTTTGCATGAATATCAAAGGTCTCAATGATCTTTCAGATCTCTAGACACCTTCATCTTCTAAGGACTCAGGTAAGCCAAAGTAATACGGGAAGCAGGATGCCATTTGCCAAGTTATTAATAAATTTGATGTAATAATTAACTCCTGAAAATATTAAAAGAAAATGGTTAGCTTAATAACAATTACATTTTAACACATAAAGAAACCTCACTACATATTATCACTGTTATGAGATACAAATAGTTCTTCTCAACTGTATGCTGACTACTGTTACAAGACCCCAGAGTTGACAAAAATTCTCAGTACACAAAATCTTCCGACCAGGCACATAAACCGAAATGAGGATGCAAAGTTTCAAAATAGGCCAATGGACAGCAGCTCCCCAGAAGAAACATAATTCTGATGGGTGGCAGTCACATGAAAATATAATTCTTTCATTTAAATGCCTGAATGGCCTTCTGGCTGCAAGTACAAAATGCAAGAGTTTTGGAAAAATCCTGACACTTGAGAGCATGACAGGTAGCTTTGTACTAATGAAAGCATTTCTGTCTTTGAGAACTGTCTCTTTTAAAAAATTTAGTGCCACACTTAGCAAGGTAACGAAGCTGATCTTTTATGATTTGAACTTGGTTAGCTGGGTAAGCTGTTTCCTCTCTACCGTTCCACTCTCCATCACTGTCAGCATCAAGGCAAAGAAGATACTGCCAATGCATTCAATATTTTGCAATGGTGTGGATTCAGTGGTTCCCTTATTAGATCTATATGACATTTAAGGCTTTTCATTGGGCCTTATGAGATTTTAGATTGAGCTTAGAGCGCTGGTTTCTTCAGCCACCAACTTGAATGTCATGGTAATAGTTTACCCAAGAAACCCACACTCTTCCTTTTACATTGCCACTGCTGCAGACTGCTCAGTCCCTCTGACTGCAAGAAGGAATTAGCTCACCTCTCTAAAAGCTCATGACCTCCAAACTTTCTTGTCCCCCCTTGATAAGACAGAGATCAACTTTAATTTCCTGGATGTGTTGTTAAAGCTGGTCAGTACTGGGGATGTATTTCGAGAGGCTTAAAAGGAATTCACCTTCTGTTCAGATTTAGAAGTGGCTGACATGACTATGTTTCCTAAAGGACTATTTTTATGCTGCTGAGAGGTCACTGTAAGTTTAAATATTAGGATACCTTAAGCTCTCATATAGGCATTTTAAATTTTGCTTACATTCAAACACAACTACATTGCATTTAAGCCTTCTGAAAACACTAGATATTGCAAAACACATCACAAGCTCTGGTTCAAAGAGTATCAATTAGCTTGCTCTTTTACTTGAACTATCCGGTTTAGTGCAGTAATTTGAAAAGGCCAACAGCAGCCTTGAATTATTATTTGTTAAGCCAAAAGGCTCCAGCCAGGAATAGGTCTCCATCATACTGGTGGAATGTAGGAATCAGTCAGCCTCTGCCTCAGAGACTTGAGCTAAATATAACAAAGTATTTAAGAACCTTAGAAATCTAAAATTCATTAGTGTTGCGGGTCTTAGACTAGCACATATCCTAATAAGACATAGGTGCTTATGAAAAGTCTATCTCAAGGCCTTGCTGTATTGAATCTCAGAACTGAGAATGGTCTATAGAAGTTGAAAACACAGCAGAAAGGAGGAGGAAGACTAAGTTGCAAAGGTTAAAAAAAGGTATGCTTAGGAGGTTATGTATGGTTTAGATTATTATTCTTCGTTTCTGTTTAATCCAAAGCAGGAAATTTGTTTGGCAGTAAATATGTCTGTATTGCATTGTACTATATATTCCCTGGTGTTGTCAGTTTCAGCTTACTGTGTATTGATATTTAAAAGTACCAACACAGAAGCCCATACTACCTTCTTCTTAGAAGGCCAGTACTAGACTTCAAATTATCCTAACTTCAAATGACTGATTGTAAGGATTTCTGTCAAATGGCTTTTTAAGGCAACATTTACTGCAGGAATCGATTATGAACCCCAGATTTAGACAGTGTCTTCTCCTAAACAAACAGCTGTATACACATCCTTTAGCACAGAAAGACTCAATAAGTTTGTTTACAAAGTAATTCACAATAAATCTCACAGGTAGTTTGCTTTTCCTTCCAAACGCACCAGAAAAACCCATTAAGTTCTGAGGAGGTGCATGCCTGTGCCTGAGAACGCACCCAGGTGAAAGAGGAAGCAACATACCAGAATTCTATATTTTTAAAAGCAAATTTTTACAATTTGCAAGAGCTATTAGGAATGAGTACAGTTTGTAACTGTTACTTTGAACAAGGACCTATCTGACTTCTGTGGGATTGAGTGTGTGTTAACTGTTTGCTGGTGAGACTATGAGGCTTACTACATAAGCTTGAACTGGGAAAAAAAGAAATCCTTTTTATGTACAGGATCCTGTTCTACCATATTAAGAGTAATGCTTGGCTAGAAGACCCTAGCATTTCCCAGCCTAATTTTCAGATTATACATTGTGTAGAACAATCTACAACATTTAAGTGCAACCAGCTGTCATTCATTCTTTACACCTCAACAGCAATATTGGAAAAGGTTTATACTTTGTGTTATGAAATTAAGAAAAATAGAATTGCATCCCTAAAAATGGAAACGTCAAGTCGAATTTCCAGATTGTCACACATCTTCCAGAGTACAGAAGGAAACTTTCTTCTGAGAAAGTGTGTGTATCAGGGGTTTGTGCAGACATCTCAAAACGTTAGGATTACAGATATTAGGGACCATTTTCACAGAATGACAGAATCACAGAATGTTAGTGGTTGGAAGGGATCTCCAGAGATCATCGAGTCCAACCCCCCTGCCAGAGCAGGACCATCTAGTCTAGGGCAGGTCACACAGGAATGCATCCAGATGGGTCTTAAAAGCCTCCGCGGAAGGAGACTCCACAACCTCCCTGGAGAGCCTGTTCCAGTGCTCTGGAACCCTTACAGTAAAGAAGTTCTTTCTCATGTTGAGGTGGAACTTCTTGTGTTCCAGCTTGTGACCATTGCCCCATGTCCTATTGCAGGGCATAAGTGAGAAGAGGTTGCCCTTTCCTTCCTGACACCCAGCCCGCATATATTTCTACACGGGCTGGGAATTTTGTCATTGGAAAGTGAGGAATTATTCTTTTCCCCTTTCTGTTCTTTCCTCTGGCCATTCTAATGCCCTGCCTTCATGCTGAAGTAAGGCATAACATCACTCTCCCAGCCTCAATATCCCCACATCGACTACTTCTGCCTCCCTCCACATCGACACCTAGTGTTTAACAGCTCACTTGTTCTACTCAGGGCACTTTCTGGGGTAAAAATAATTGTCAACAAATACAGTAAAAACAAACTTGGTGTAAGTTTTAATCTAAAACCTGACACATTTTAGGAATAATACACCTACAAAATCTCTGCTCTAAAAGACCCTGCCCCCACCAAGTTAGAAACAGAATGGTTTTAAAGGTTTTCAAATGTCCTACGTCTTAGGTGTGAAATTGGTAGTGAATCAGTTGGTGTGAATGATTTTATTTGAAAGGACATTGCTCTGAGCTTTCTAATTCTTCACATGCTCTTTGTAAAAATGTTTATATAGAAGATGATGGCCTTTCCATGCTATGCAGTTACAATTGCTTCAACAGATCACTGCACAAAAGAAGTGAACTCCTGCCTAATGAAAGCTGGCCTACTTGGAGTTCCTCCAATGCCCTTTCATTAAATGTAAAGTTCATAATATTAATCAGGCAACTGCTTATACTGGGAATCAAGTGAACATTTTCTGATATTGCAGCTGAGTTTTGTCAAAATGTTAGCTTTCCTTTACCAAGTGCATTCAGAAAGTCTGCTTACTGTCTCCTGCTCTGACGTCTAAATAACAAAGCCTATTCAATAGGCAGCTCTATGGGGTTGTACAATGTCTGCAGTCCCAGCTGAAGGAATATCAGTTCAGGAAAGAAACCACAAGGACTCTGTCCAATTTAAATTCAACATGGTAAGCTGTGCCAGTGAAAGTGGGCCACATATTGTAAATTTTGGTGGCAAAGGAAGGGCTTCCATTCAAGCCTCTCTGGGATGCTGGCACAGTGTTTTCAGTCATGCTCTGCAGGGGAAAATGGCTGCTTGGGCTGCTTACAGCAGATTCACTAGCTCCCCTTTCTGAATTCTTGAAACAAAAGCTCCTCCACTTTCTGGTAAAAACTGTAATCTGCAGGATGCAGGGGACAGGCTGCTGCCTGTTGAACAGCCAAACTCTACATGACCAAATTTCTGCAGGAAAATATTTTTTTCTGCTAATATCTTCCTACTGCAGATCAGGAAAACCTGAAGAGCACTTTCTAAGAAATCCTTTTCTTTTGCAGCCTTCCATCTTTTCAATCTTCAAACCAGGAAAAGACAGGAACTGCCAAGGCAAACATTGCCCCAGAAGTGTACAGACAGATATCTCCTAGACAGAACTGAGATTCAGAAGAGTAAGAAAGAGAACTGAGATCCAGAACTTCACCCAAATCTACTTTGCTTTCTTTCTCCTCAAAACATTATCCTCCCAGAATACAAGAGACCTCAGCCAAGTACTTGGATTCTCCCACCCTTTCTGGTCCAGCTTCAGTTGCTTTTATTCTTTACAATTCTCTTTATTTCTTTCTTCCATTCCTCACATTCTGCAGGCAAAGATACCATTTCCTACATTTTTGAAGTGAGTGACCTTAATCTTTTACCCGCCCATTCTAATGGAATGAGAATAAAACAGAAGTATAAAAAATGTTATGTCTGATTGCTAGCCAAAAAAATTTATACCTGACTGCTAGCTGTCTAATCAGCTTGTTTACATGTTATATCCCTTTTCACTTTTACACTGTCTGCTGAGACTGTGAAAACCGTTCTTTACAGAGCAGGGACTGTCTTATATTTGTCACAGAACCAGGCACAGTTCCTAGCTGAGTCTGAAGAATCCTCTCTAATTTGCTAAAGAAAATATTTGGGAAATGTATGTCCCTCTTAGTGCAAAATAGTCAATGTGAACTTCAGGGTATACTGATAAACTATCTAAATGCATTTGCCAAATGGATACTTGTCTATTGTAAGCCATCAAAAAATATGCTCATGACACAGATCCCTGTAAGTATAAACAATCTGATGAAGCAAAATGATTCAGAGTTACAGTTTAAAAAACTGAAGTAAGCAAAAAGATACATAGGAAAATCCCACCCCAAAAGATTGTGCTATCCAAGGGGATCTAGAATATTAATTGGTAAGTTATTGCAAACCTATAAAAAATCATCCCGTAATTACTCTGAAAAAAGTTGCAATTTCAAAGCTACACTGCAGAATAGCATACTGGATTAATTATGCCAGACTGCAGCAATAACCTTGAATTAAAGCTGCAACCTTCTATTTTTAAGAAACAATTGCCTTTCTGGTTGATGAAACCTGTCGTCCCATCAGGTAACAGACGTGACCAGGAAAGAGAAAAGCGATAATGAGTCAATCCAAGCTGTTTGATACATTTCAAATCTTCCTCCCACAGAGTGTAGCTGCCACAAGCTACATCACCAGTCTGGTTCTTGAAAACTCGATCTCCTCCCTGATGGGTGAATGTGTCCCAGACATTAGGGCCCTTTCCATCTGCATTCCAGCCTTCTGCTTGAAAAACAAAACTTGGTTATTACACTTTTGATATCAAAAGACATATGTTAAATGTAAATGTTTATCACAAAGTAGTCACAAACCCCTCAAAATCCCACGAGAAAAATGAGCAGTATTCCTATCCTGCTCCTTGTATCATTTAAACTAGGAACTTTCAGGCATTAGCAAGTATTTACATTAGGTTTTGCATTTATTCATATTTTTGCTTGCTGCTAATTATTTGAAAATCCTGTTTTGAAAAACATTCAGGATTCTGACACTTTTTATACTTCCCTAGCCAAAAATCAGATATTTGCAACTCTTGAGATATTACAGGTTTTCACAAAGGGCATTTTCTAATGCAACTCCCATCCACAAATGTAAAAGATCAGTCCATATCAAAGAAAGCCTTTAGGGTATGAGAAATACATCCAACAAACAGGCACTTACGGCTTTCTGGATGTCCTTTGAAAATCCTGACAGTCTGTTAAAAAGAAAGGAATGCCATTATGAGCCATGGCCCTAGGCATATACAAGCTGAATTAATAACACAGCTCTGCAAAAATTCTGCCTTTTGCTTAGCAAAAAAATTAATTTCACAGAAATGAATTTTGAATGCTCAAAACCCCTGCACCATTTTTCTTCACTTTCATAGTTTTGGGAAATTTCTTTGCAATTCCAAAATTGAGATAGACAGATTACCTTTAAAATATCCAAAATGTAGCTGTTATTTGACATTACAGTACTAATATCATATAATATTAATACTAAATAAATGCACCTTTCTTCATTAGAATACTTTTTGTTTTACCAAAACAATACTGTAGTCGAGGCAAACATTTAATTTTTAATGTGGAGAGCTCTGTAAACTTACACCCCTGCAAAGTGTGATTTTATCGTAAAATTGCAGATAACCCCAAAATGACCAACCTCATTTGCCAGCAAGATTTTTCAGACACCCATTGAACACATTGTTCCAGGGTTACTCTTTAAAAACTAAAATTACATTGTGCGTTAAAATCATGTATAAATTAAATATCAGTTGAGGTGTAAGATTAATAACTATATAATAGCTACATATCAATCCTCAATAAAAGTGTTTTAATAATCAATTAGTATCATAGAAATTAGAGATGGAGAAGAACTATTAGGAGGTCATTGAATCCATCCCCTGCCAACGCAAGATTGCTCCCTTAAGTATATTCGGTACTTAATACACATCTGTCTTATTAAATCTAAGTTTAATGCAAGGTTAAGCATATTGAAGACACTTAATTTAAAGCATTACTAAAATCTGTAATATCACTTCTATAACCTAGCTTTTCAAAGATCACTGTCACATTTCATGTTCTTTGCAGACTTTTATTGCAGCACATGAACACCAATACATTTACATTTGGTTGGTCAGTAAATTAAACTCTTATATGGGATAACCTTCTAAGTAGGTCAAATTTTAGACCCAGACAATTTGAGTTTCTCTTAATCTCAGATTTTATCACAGACTTTGTGCTCTGTCTATATACTTCTCAGAAAAACACAGTGTAAAAAGCTTTCTATATCCTGCTTCCAATTTCAAATATGCCTGCTGAAATAAACAGTCGTTTTAGAAAAGTGCAGGAAATAACAAATAACAATAATTCTTGAGTGGTACCTAGAATTTAGAAGCCTTTAAGAGCAGGCTTCCTGCACCATGTCAGTATGATATAGCTCTTTTTTTTTCACTATGGTGGGAGTGAAGGGAAGCCAAAAGCTGCCATAATGGGCAGCTAACACACCTTCATTTAAGAATCTGCAGATACTGAACGATTTCTTTTTTGACTGCCTTCCTCCAGCGAAGGTGGGAGTGAAGAAGAGAAGCATTCAATTTTCAGCAGAGGATGACAGTGCTACTCCAGTGATCATTAGCCACTATAAAGCACTGACTGGGGCTGTAGCAAACAGACACACTTCCAAGCATTCCTCACGCTGTTGGAAGAGACTCTCTGTAGAGTGCAGAGTATCTGAGCTACTGAAATAAAGTGCAGGAAGCAATCTAGCCAAGGAAACAGAAAGCTCCACATACAGTAACGTATCCTGCTGAGCCACAATTAGTCTGCACAGAGCATTGCTCTGCTTCAGTGAGCAGAGCTCGCGCCTCTAAACTTGCTCAGAACTCTCCACACCACACTGCACTTCGTAGTGCAGACATACCCTGGGTTTTAGTGTTTTGGGGCCAGGAAAGAACAGTGATGAGGAACTGATTTCACATTTCAAACACATAGGTGAGACTTAGCCAGCACATCATCACATAACATGTCATCAACTGATTAATATAAATTATCATGAAACATGATGCATTTTCCCCATTCTCTGAAGTTATTACAGTGGAATAAGATTTTTTTTTTTTTTTCCCCATTTAAGTGAAGCTAGTGAAGCAGGAATATTACTGACAGAGTATTTAAGTTTTCATGTACTCTTCCAAGTTAGCTGTTTTTCTAATTCATCTGTGTTTTCACCTTTTGGAATGAAATTTTCTTGGCCTGATCTCTACCGAAAAGGTGAAATTTTGTTTGAATTAATGCAGTTGAAGTATTTGGCATATGAAAGAAGTGAAGAAACCCACTTTTACCATTACAAGAATTTTTTGCAACCTTTCCCTCTCTTTAAAAAAAAAAAAAAAGAAATCAAGCAGAGAGTTGAAATTTAGCATAGAAATGGCCCTCAGTAAGAAGAAGTGCTTTTGAGTGTTCTGGTGCAAATTGATTTTGATTTGACTGAGTCATGAACCTTTGAAATTTGCACTTTGAGCATACAGAGTACAATTGGTATGATTTTTTATCACTTTGAAATATACAGAGTGGAGAAGGTTGTGCTGTGCATAAATACATAGCTGACGGTAAAAAATAAAGTAGCCTGTCAGCCCTTGCCTCATCCACTGTGTATCTTGTGATACGTGCAGCAACTGAGTTTGGACTCTGCAAGAACTTTTGCTTCAATCATGCTGCCTCTAAGTTGGAAGCTGCACAGTTTCCAAAGCTTTCAGGAGGAGGAATTCCCTGTTGAGTTTCTTACGTCTGTGGGAAAAGGGTCGTTTGAGTAATGTCTAGACCACATTATAGATTTTTTTTTTTTTTTTTACATTCTTCCAACTCAGAAGCCTTAGGAAAGCTCATTAAAAATACATTAAGAGAACATTAAAGTTGCACATCTAGCCACTCAAACGGCAGAAAATTATAATATCATTCTACATGCACACACAATTCATATTTGAAAAAATAGTTAGTAGGGCTATGCGCATTGCAGGACTCAAAATAGAATCTGGTCCAAAATATTGATTCCCTGGGAACAGCAAGCTGTTCACTCTATTAGGTGAAGCTAACTGAGCTCGTTAAGAGGTACCAAGCATGGGCAAGTACTCGAGCTTTCAGCAATAACCAAGAACTAAAGGCTACATCCTCAAAGACAATTTTAGATCTACAACTCCCATTTAGGAACTGAAATCAATGGGAGTTAAGTGCCTGTATGCTGCAGGGTATAATATGAGAAAATCAGATCTATATGTATTTTAAAGCTCTCTAAACACACATTTATGAAGAGATAAAGTTGGGGGGGTATGGCTGTAGGTGACCCTGTATGTTATGGGACTACGTTCCCTAATCTGCCACATATTTTGGTGCAAACCACTTTATCAGCACCTCCGTTCTGTTGGGAACATGTCCCTGGGGGTAAGGGCCTCCAGAAGTCAAAAAAAAACCTGCTAACCTCTCAGTTCACCATTTTTCATATTCTTTGGAGACAAATGCCTAACTGAGGACCCCTTGTGAGTACCAGTGTTCGGTGAGGCACTTCTCCCATCCAGTTTTGAAATAACTGATAGTAATCTATGTAAATTAGCTCTAGAGAAGTGAAATACTTTGAAAATAGCTTATACCTGCTTCCTGTCACTCTCCCCTCTCTCCCCCCCTACCCCCTGACAACTACTGAGATATTTCTGGGATTTGAAACATCCTTTACACTCTTCTTACTGTTTAGGTCAGAAGAGTTTAAACAGAAGTGTCGCATGGATTTGTGGCATATATACATAACAAGCATCTACATAACAAGGCAAAGATCAAACACTCCTGGATACAGACTTTTCATTCACTTAAAACTTCCTTAACACTCTGGCAGCTAAAATTTGACACCTTCAATTTGACATGCTACTTTAGCTGCACCCCAAGCAAATCCAACTGGAAAACTAATATCCTCTGGCACCTGCTGCAGAGGACCGGTGAATACACAGCATTATGCAACGCTATGGAGATGCGGGCTTCATCTGCAGCTGGCTTCCGGCTCCATCACTCTTCCACTTGTTACAAGTAGATTCTATACCGAAGACAAAAATAAACAAATAAACCCTGTGCAGTTTCACACACTGAAGGGCAAGCCATGCACTTTGCATATCTCAGGATTAAAGTGAAGAGGTCCAATCAGCTAACAGTGAAAGTGGAAAAGGCAGGAGTGGAAAAGCCTAGTGTGGTCATGGTCAAAGGGCTCCACCTAGGACAAAGTAGAATTACCCAGAACAGAACTCTATTCCCCCTCACTTGCCTCTCACCTCCCACCTCTCAGACAAATGACTTTGTGCACCATCTACTCAACAGAAATCATTTAGCCACCAGGTAAAAAGTCATTTCCACCCCTTTCAATAAGCTTCAAAACCCAGCATCACCTCTATTTTTCTAGCATCAAATTTATATATTTTTCTCTCTCAACACCAAACCAATTTGCTTGCAGTAGGTGAGAAAGGATGTTCTAGCCATTACATGTTTAGCAGTGGAAACCAATGAGTGGAAGAAGAAGATTTGTATGGGAGTACAGACAGAACAGCTATCTTTCTCCCTCTTTAAAATCCCATGGATGTTCAATTTTTCTAGAGGAGCAGTGACAACCTTATGGCATGTGTGCCAAAACCAGCATCTGCAAAACAACCCTCAGGTTTCTTCCTCTACCTTCTGTCAATGCTGTTACTGCTCTCCTGTTAGCAGGCTGAGAAAGGAGCAGCAGCAGGCAGACAAGTCAGGGTACAGCTGTAACAAGTGGGATGGGCTGAAAGAACTTAAATGTCCCTTCCCAGAAAACTGCAACACCTGGCACACTAGATGGCACTACTGTAATTTTTTTTTTTTTTTTTGACTTAGCAGGAGTTTCCCCCCCATTTATTATAATACTATATCCACACTTGTTTTGCCAAGGTGAGTATCTGCACATATTGGACTGCTAGGCAAGAATGTATGACCACTTTTTCTTCCTCTTTACTCCTTTTGCACCTTTTTGGTTTTGAAATCCTTCTGGGTGAAGTCTTACTCCTGCAAAGCATTATACATGCAAATGATATTTTCTTTGATAATGAAAATAAGACAAACCTTAACACACACAAGAAAAGCCACTAATATAGTTAATGCACATACTTTTGCCAGAACTACACATAAAGTGTCAGCTTCTTAGGGAAAAACAAAATGCTTTGTAGAGATTCATAGAAGCTGATTTAATTCCAAAGTGCACATTGCAGAACCAGACAGTGTAGATGCAAAGCAAAATAAATCCGGTTTTCACAGCAGGCATGCATCTCTTCAAGTGTCTTTCAAAGGAAAGGTAAAAGTCCCTTGAGTACGAAGGAACAAAGGGGAAAATGGGGCACAACATACCAGCTTGTTCCCAAAACACATGGTGACACATGACCTAGGCAAACATACATATCCTTTACGTGTTTTATACAGATGACCAAAAGCTGATGCAATGAACTGGTTAATATTCTCTGGTCAAAGCAACTTCCTCAGGTTTTCATTTGCGAGAAGGTAAGCACTGGACAGTTAAAAGTAAAACTCATCAGGGACACCTGAAATCATGATTAATAAGTATTAATGAACCAGAATAATAATGCATATTTTTTACATCATTAAATGTTACTGGTAGGTACCTTTGAAAATGTGACATTAAATCTTTTCCAAGAAAATCATACAATTCAATTTCAGAAGAGATATAATAAATATGTAACTCAATAATAGGAGGATAGGGGCAGACAGGAGATAGTAGCAATAAAAACCCAATAAAAAGTTTTATAAAAATACTTAACCATAAAACAAGGCTAAAAAGTGTCACTGCTGATTCTCTAGCAGGAATCAACAGAGACAGAGATGGGTTTTAGGAGAGATTGAGTGGGAGGAAAATATTCCATAAGCAGTCTGGGGAAGAGTGAACAAAATTTGCCTCGGAGGTGAAGGCAGATTCGCAGTAATGAGACAGCAGGCTGTGCCAGGTAAGTAGGGAGATACTGGGAGATGCAGAAGCTTCAGAATTCAGAGAAGCTGAGTTTATAGCAGCTAACTTCAAATTCTTCTGGCAACCCAGTTTCTACATTTGTGACCCCACTTCCAGTTGTATGTCTGGACTCATGAACCCATTCCTTGTTGCAGTAGCAGACCTTGCAATTATATTTCCATTAGATCCACTGCATGTTATAGTCCCTAGGGTGCACCCACCTTCTTACTCTGATAATTTTTCTCTACATGTAACAATCAACCTGACTCCAACCTGAATTTCAGTACATCATTGTCCCATTGTTTTGTTCAACACATGTAAGTACAAAACTATGAGATCTCTGTTCTACCTAGAGGCAAATTTTTTCCAGACTAAGTTTAGGGTATTTACATTTTCACTGACACAGAGGATATGTAAATAAATGAGCTCAAGCCAAGCATTCCCAGGAAAAATCAAGCAGTTCTTGGGTATCCAAATGTATTTGGACAAAGATATTTTTGGCAAGTCAGTCAAGACCAAGAGTAATTGGGCCTGATGCTGAGAGTTGGCAACCTAACTTTGGAAAATGCTAGGTATTATATTAAGGATGAATAAAGTTTAGTGTTGAGCTCTTAAGTCACGTAGGATTAATTATTATCAGAGGTAATAATAAATAATAAGGGTATCTTGTCAAAATGAGTTTTTCCTGACTGAATCGATATTTCCTAATGACACATTATGAATGTGTTTAATAGTATTTATTACATAATTTATAAATTAAACTTTGAAGGGATTGTGAAATTTAAACAATCTTTCCTGAAATTTTACACTGCACAGGAACAGAAGAAGGATATAGCTGCTTTGGAAACAAGACTGTATGTCTCTGAAACAGCCAAAGATAGATCACATATTCTGTGAGTTGTCTTTGTAATTGCTACTCATAAATTCAGTTTCCCTCCCTGGCAACATAATAGAACAGCTATTGAGAAAACAAATTTACTAAAACACTTTGAAGTCTGCCAGACAAACTTGATTTTTTTTTAATAGTAATACAAAATTAATGAATAGAGAGCAGAAGCAATACTGTCACATGTCTGAATTTTAGCAGTATACTGTTTTCTTTAGAATATTTTAGCACTGAGCTTAAGGTGTTCTCGATTAAGTTATGGAGACAGTTTTCACCTTACACTGTGGCTGCAGTAGAGGAGTTCTAACTTTAATCCTCTAAATTGAGCCTTAATTAGAAGCTTCTGATGGGTTGTTGATTAGCCTACTTCTCCCATCTACAATGTGTAAAAATTCTGTTCCCAAACTTAAATCAAATTGGAAATGAATTATCATGTTGACTGAAATGAAGGGTGATGACAAACAATGAAGGGCAATGATAAACAATAACTTTGAAGGGAGGCATTTAGTGCAGTACACAAAGATTAGTATTACTTCTGATCTCATTTAATAGCTTCAATAATGAGCTAGAAGAGGGAGTAAATGGTACATTAATGAACTCTGCAGATCTATTAAACTAGGAGGAGCTGAGCACACTGCTGAAAATGGAGAAATAATACAAGGGGTCACAGGAAGATTAGAAACACAGGCAGAATATTGCAATATGATTCAGTTTAGAAGACAGAAGAATAATATTTTGGTAAAAAAAAATCAACAGATGGTAACAGGTACAAAATCCGGAGAGCTGTAGTGCTGGAAGAGATTTAAAATCAAGAATACCAGGAAAACTAGGCAAGAATCTGTAACTGTGCAGCAGAGAAAAATAGTGAAGTTTGGGCAAAACTATTAAAAAATAAGCAAAGAAATAATGACAAATCTTAAAGCAGTTCTACAGCTATCAACTCTCTTCTGCATTTAGCCTGGGCACTGGAAAAACAGACTATCAGTCAGATGGTTAGAGATTTTGCAGCTATGGAATTTTTTTCCTGGAAGAAAACTTAAAAATAAGTCATCCATTTTACAAACAGAGTGTTGTCCTTCATGAAGTGAATGACATAACAGTGAGCCACCGGCTAAAAGACCATAAAAAAGCATGAGACTGAAGAAATAAAATATTCTCCTACTGCTTCTGGTAATTGCATCATGCAGCTTGAATTTTTTGATATTGCTGAGGAAACTGCCGCTGTAACGCCAGCTGCTATGAGCTTTCCAATACCAGATATATGTGCACAATATCTTGGAGAGCTAAAGATGATTGTGAGCAACCTAACTCCAGCTGAGGAGTTCACACAAATTAATCTTGTTGGGAATAACTCTACACAAGCTATAACAGAGTGCCAAACTAGTGTTTCATCACTCCTTGTACCAGAGAAAGTTTCAGCACTTCTACATGGCACACCATTAGGATGTATAGTACATGTGTAAAGTGATACTCCATATTGATCATCAGTCTTCAAAAGTCCTTGGTAGCTCTTGGATGTTGAAGGCATCGTCCTTTATTGCTGAGTGCCTCCATACAGCATTTTTAAGTAGGCTTGGTTGCTCAGGAGTTTGTCACTGTCACTACATTGTGACCCAACACCAAGTGTGCAGAGAGCAGGGCATTGATCCACAGCTTTAAATTTGCACACTTCAGTAGAAAACTTGGCAAAAGCCCTTTCATGTAAAACCATGCTCCATTCATTTATATCTTGGCATGTCCTGCCATTCCATACTTCTGGATTGTTCACCTTGTAGGTGAGCAAGCTTAGAATCAATGAGCCATCATGCAAAAATGTCAGGATAAAAAAAGAAGTATATATACATGAAAACCAACACAAAAAAATACCAGAAGCATAGACAGATCCCCTAGTCCCTTGTGAACATGATTTGCTTGCTGAGACAGGACCCTTTCATTGATGTTTCCGAGAAAGCTGCCTATGTTATGGAGTAAATCATCTTGAGTGCCATCACACACCATATACAGGACAAACAGGCAATCAGGCCCAGTCAGCATGGGTTCATGAAAGGCAGGTCCTGCTTGACAAACCTGA